TATGCCTCCTTCCGCCACAACCAGAGGGGGAATGCCGACCACAGTAACGCCGTTCAATTCACACTTGGCGGGGGCGAGCACTCCATCAGCTACTGGGAATTCGCCAATGCACTCCGGGTGAATTCCCCCCACGCCGGCGATGGGCTGCTGCGCTTAGACATCACCGATCCCACCGATTTTCCCTGCCAGGCGTACTTCCGGCGGATCTGTCATCCTGACTATGTGGATGTGGAGTACGTCGCCAGCCAGACGCGCGGCTCTCTCCTCCGACCTGAGTGGCGCATCCTTAACCACTTGTTGTGCGCCTCCTACACCCCCAGCAAGGGCTCGGCCAACCGGGTCACCCTCCGGACCCTGTGGTTCATGGAGGCGATGGGTCGCTCTGAGGACACCATCCAGCTGGGCTCGGTGGTCGCCCGGACGTTCGCGAAAGCTGCTGCCAGCCAGAGTCGCGCCCTTGTCTGTGGCCCGGTCATCACGGCCCTCGCTCGCTACTACGGGGTCGACATCACCGGGATGACTCTGGTCCACGACCCCACTCCACTCAGTGAGGCCACCCTCCGTCATCAGCACCTGGTGGCCCGCCAGGGGCGTGTTCACTGGATTGCGGGGTTTCCCCAGCCACCTGCGCCCGCCGAGGGCGACCAGGCAGAGTCCAGCGCTGCTGGATCCCGCCGGGTTCCTCGCCGCGCCACTCCTCATGCTCAGGCTCCCGCGAGCCCCGCTGCTGCCCCCCGCTCTCCTGCCCCCCGGTCTCCTCCACCAGTGGTGGTGCCCATCTCCGATCAGTTAGCGGCTATCGCTCAGCAGAACGAGCGCATCCTGGCCGGCCAGGAACTCATTCACACCCGCCTGGATCGCGAGCGGGACCGCGGCCGTCGTCTGATGTCCGGCCAGCACTACATCATGTCTTACCTGGGCATGGACCCGAGCGCCGTTCATTATCCTTTCGTCCAGTCCCCGGGGTTTGAGGACCAGTACCCACCACCTTCCGGCGATGGTGGCGATGACTGCTAGTGGCGCGAGCACCTGGTTCTGATCGTGTTTCCATTTCCAGACTGAGACTCCATGTTTTTGTTGTTTCTTTTGGATTTGTTTTCTTTTATTTTGGATTGTCAACTCGGAACTTCGGTTCTATCACCCAGTGTATCTCTTGTGTGACTTTAGCTTTGTGCCTCGGACTGGGTCCCCTTCCAGTCCTCTGCTATTGTCCGATCTACCTCTCGATCTCCGTTCCTGCTTTCACGGTAACATCGTTCCCCTTCCCTCTGCTCCATTGAGGACATTGTCGCATTTAAGTGTGGGGGGGGTTCTTTGTATTATTTGGAACGGGTGTATGGGTGCTTGGAGCCTAGTCCACTGTCCAAATCTTGAGATTTGAGGGCTCCAAGCACGGCTGTTTGCTTGATATTTGATCGTATTGGCATTGTGGATGTGATTAGAGAATTGAATGGCTTTTGACTTGATGCATGACAACTTGAGTGTGACTAAGATAGCCTATTACGATGACTGAGATGTGTAGTAGAGTTGTGTAGGGGTTCAGTTTTCAACTGTTTGCTTACCAACTGCGACTTGTATTTGATCACTTGCTTTTGACAGTCATTTATGCATCTAGTTCAGGGAATCAGAATGTGGGATAGAGCATATAGGTAGCCATGTGAGATTTGAGCCTGCTCGTTTCTTTCTTGTGCGATAGATCCCTCTTCCATGAAATGTAGCATTCACGTTGTCACTAGCTAAGATGATGGAGGCATAGGATTAGCCCACGACCAAACTGACTGTCCTGATGCGTCATAACCCCTAGTCAGCCCCTTTGAGCCGTGTGTTATCCTTTCTTTCGGTCTGAAATGAAAAATCACCCTTTGCATCTTTTAGAAGGTTCCACAGAGTGGTTTTTGCATGCTGTCTGCTGTTCTGCTAAATATAATGTGAGGGTTGGAGGTAGTGCTTAAAAATTTGGGCGTGCGTTTGAAAATATGCAGAGGTGGTGGTTCTCTTAAGAAATGAACAAAGAAAAAAATAAAGAAAACAAAGAAAAAGATTAAAGCAAAAGAGAGCCACCACCAAAAAATCTGGAATTGTGCCCATTAAGTAGTTTCCGAGTAGTCTGGCTTGGAAATGCTAGCATTTTTGTAACCTCCTTCGCTCTTGTGCCCTAAAGAATTTGATTAATGCAGAATAGCAGGACGAAAGTTACTGGTTTGCTTGATTGTGGTTTTGTTGGGTTTGGAATTGTGGAACCTTATGCTATAACTGCCACCACCTAAAAGGCTTTTTCCCCATGTCCAAGACCCTAGCCAGTCATTTGAACCTGTGTCTAAGACCTCCGGATTAGTTAGTGGTGACACCCCCTTATGTGAACTCTAGCATTTAGAGGCTGCATTCATGGTGAAGAGACGTTAGGGATTGAGAGAAGAAGCATGCGCATTTTTCGCATCATATTGTCCTGACCCCACTGGTCGAGAGTGAGCGATTCATTTCTTCATTTTCTCTATACTCTTTACCCCGGTGAGGACCTAGATTGCTCGGTCTTAATTCTGATGTCTTAAGCTTTGTGCATGATATGACTGTTTTGAACAAGTGATTGAGTCAAGTCTATGTTGGTTGGTGAACATGAAAGAACTCTTCCTTTGCTCGACTCTATTGCATTCGAATGTCATCTGTGGTGGTTGTCTAGGTTGTCGTTCGAGTTGCCATGTGTTGATGATCGAAAGCCAGTATGATCCACGTGTTTTATGCCGATACGATTTGCCCTTGAGCCTGCTTGATTGAAATGTCTCAAGCTTACCTGGTGTCTGACTTGGTTTGCTTAGGGACAAGCAAACGGTTAAGTGTGGGGGAGTTTGATAACGATATAATTACATGATTTTATACCCCTATTTCTTATCCATTTGCGGAGCATGGTTGTGTGTTTTGGCCTATTTTACGCTGGGTTGTGCTACTTTGTCCTATTTCAGGTCCCAGGCGTCAAAGGGAAGGCCAAGCACGAGTTTCGGATCGTTTGGAAGTCGTTTGGACGAGCCAGGACCAAAACACGGGCAGGAGGCCCTCAGAACACGGCCGTGTTCCTGTGACCGTGCTTTTATGGCCGAGGCTTCCAAGGGTGGCGTGCACAACCTAAAAAACACGGGCAGGCCTGAGGAAAACACGGCCGTGTTTTAGCCTGAACACGACCGTGTTTTCAAGCTGCCCGTGGCCGTGCTTTTAAGGCTGAGGCAAAACACGGGCGGGCTGAGGCAAAACACGGCCGTGCCCTCGACCGTGTTTTGGCCAATGATGCCCTTTTAGGCAGATTTCAGCCAAATTGAGAGGGGATTCGAGTTTTAGAGAGATAGAACGATTCCTAGAGAGAGAAAGCGACGAACAAGAGTCTCCAAGCGCCCTAGATCGATCTTCAACACCATTGGAGCTTGGTTTGAGCTTGGAGAAGTGCCGATTCAACGTCCAGGAGCAGAAATCCATCTTCACAGTATGATTTGCTTTATTCTTGCTTTTTCTCTTGTCTACCAATCAAAGTTTTGCATGTAGCATTTACTATTTACTGTGTGCTTAGTGTTGTTGAGTGTTCTTATTGATAGATCATGTCATATTTAGTTGATTTGAGTATAATTATCCTGGTTTGGGAAATAGATTTTGGTCCTGGACGAGGCAGATTGTATTCTCGACGTGGGTTTCAAGAAATCTTTAAACGCGATTGTTTCACAGCTTCTTAAGCATAGGCAAACTTTGCTTTTCTCTGCTACGCAAACAAAGTTTGTACAATATCTTGCAATGCTCAGTTTGAAGGACCCAGAGTACATTAGTGTTCATGAGAAGGCCGAGACTGCTACTCCTAGTTGTTTGCAGCAGGCAGCTATGATTGTTCCTTACCAAAAGTTTGATATGTTATGGAGTTTTGTTAAGGCACATCTTAACTCCAAAATACTCGTGTTTCTTTCTACCTGTAAACAGGTATAGTTTTAGACTCTACTATGTTTTTGGCCTATAGAAACGCATCATATAATTGGAGTATTTTTTTTCCTCCATTGCCTGAAAGTTTGTCCTGCCATTGATAATTTCCTTGATTTTAGGTGAATTTTTTTTGTTGAAGCATTTAAGAAGTGGAGGCCCGGAATTCCGCTAAAATGCCTTCACAGGAGGATGAAGCAGGAGAGAAGGATAAATATTTATTCCCAATTATGTGAACAACGTTCTGTTCTCGTTTCCACTGATGTGGCTGCTAGAGGTCTTGATTTCAACAAAGTAGTTGACTGGGTTGTCCATGTGAGGTAGATTTGAGATCTCTGACAATAATAGTGCTTTTGCTAATCACTTGCTTTTATCTCATAAGATTTTACATTGTTTTTCAGGCGGATTGTCCAGAAGATGTTGCATCCTATATACACAGACTTGGTCGCACTGCGAGATACCTGTCAGGAGGGAGATTTTTTTATGTTTTTTATGCCATCATAAATGAAAATGTTTGATAAGTTGAAAGCAACCAAAGTTCCCATAGAATTTATAAAGGTCAGCAGACTCTTTGTTATGCCCGAGGCAATTTTGCTGATTTTGTTTGCAATATGATCAAATGCTAAAATGTACAAATATTTTTTTATATTACGTAACATGATTTCATGGTTTATCAAATTTTAAGGCAAACATGAAAATGCTACAACCAATGTATGGACTGCTTTCAGATTTATTGGTGAAGCATTTTGAACTGCAAGAGCTGGCTGTAAAGGCGTTCATAAGATACATGCGGTGTATACACATTCAGAAGGAAAAAGACGTATTTGATGTGTTGCAATTACCCATTGATGAATTTGCAGCTTCAATGGGTCTGGCTCTCACCCCTATTATCTGTTTTGTAAACTAAGAGGCAAAAAGCTGCCGCCTGGTGAATCTCATGTCCTTGAATTGGAAGCTTCTAGCAAGGAGCCTCTAGTAGAGCTAAAGAGAAAACAGGCACAGCAAGTTAAGTGAGGAAAACTTCGACTTACCAACAGAGTTACTGAATCCAAATGACTCTCAGGATGAGGATGTGGAAAAAGATCTCCTTCTATCTAAGCAATACCCAAAATGAGAGCATTGAGAAAGCAGTGGAAGGTGGAGATGCAATGTAATTCATTTAACTCCTTACTCTTTATCCCTTTTTATCTGTTATTTTTTGGAGTGCGATGAAGCTACGTTTGCTCCACTCAAAGTCTGGACTTGATCTCTATGGCTGGTAACCATCAATTTTGATACGGTTTGTCTTATGTTTCCTCTGGATATTGTGCAGACTTCCACCCCGTATTTCTAAGAAGAAAAAATTGAAGATCAACATTCATAGACCAGTCGGAACAAGGGTTGTCTTCGATGATCAAGGGAATACGCTGCCTCCACTAGCTATGGTGGCAGGAGCAAACAACGATGATGATTTGTCTTTGTTTGACAAAGGTAAATACTTTCTCATTAACTAGTCACTATGTGTAGTCCTGAATGAACCCACTTTAACTAGGTGACGACTTGTCGTTCTCGCTAGACTGTCACTCGCATGACAGCTTATCCTTCAATAGTAACTTATATAATAGCATAATAGCCAACTGGCTTGGGGTAGTGCTTTTTGAAAGTGGTTCCATTACTCATTATCTTTCTCCTTGTCCAAACAAGAGGGACGGGTATTACAAAAATATAAGGGAACAAGGTAGACAAGGTTCTTGACCATCAACGTCGGAGGGATAAGCGTATTAAGGAGAAAATGAAGTGGAAGAGAGTTGGGGACGAAGAAGAAGAAGGTAGTGATGAGGATATTTTTGGGTCAGGAGGGGACGAAGGAACAAATGGAAGGAAACCAAAAAGATGGAAGATCTACTTCAATAGTGATAGTGATGATGATGGTGAAACTAGAGGATAGAAAGAAATGTAGTAGACGACTCCATTTCCCTAGCAGAGCAAGAAGCTCTGGCACTGAAGTTGTTGAACTCCATGCACCAATGACAGTAGATTTTGCAACTCTAGTTAAGATGTAGCTGGCAATTTTGTCTAAGGAAGCCTGCACTATCTTTGCTCATTCTTTTCGTCCGTCAATGGCATAGTTAACAAGAAAAATTCGCTTTGTTTCTCTTTTTGACTTGTTTACTATTATGCTTATGAAATACCTCCGGATTAGTAAAGGCAGACTAATAACACTAGAGGAACTTACAGTCAATCGGCTACATAAATGGTTGTCTATGAGTTTGAAAGGATAAGTATCGGGATATTAATACGGTAAGTTCAATCCCAAAGGACTGGTCTAAGCCTCAACTGGGGAAGTTCCAAAATTTGTAAACTTTATATCCCTCATAGTTTGAATAGTGAGGTCCCAACTTTTTTCATGTGAAATGTTAGGTTACGATGAAGAAATGTAATCTATAAGACCTTTTCTTCTAGTAGGAAGATTTTGGTTTTCACGTTTTGATATAACTTCTTTGTCAAAACTAGAGGGGAAGCGACCTTCTACTAAATTCTTAGTTTTTGCGTAAGTTGTCTTTTTCTATGCAAGTACACTTAGAAAGAAGAAAGAAGGTTGGATTAAAAAAAGTATGCTTAAAACGTTCATTCAGTGAGCTTAACAGAATGAAGAGACTTCAGCAATATGATAATGATTGTTTCTCGATATCGAATCATCATTCCACATCTTGTTTGTAGTTTGACATCTGGCAATAAAAAAACTCGTTACTCCATCAAAGTGACAAGCTGAGAAACCACCAGGATTACCAATTTGTACGAAGTACGAAGACATCCCAAGGCATGCATTGATACAGTTAAACAGAAATCCACAAAGCATAAAGTCAATAAACCTTTAGGGACAATACACAACCTCCACCAATAAAACTCATGCTTATGAAGTACCTCCAATGATTAGTGAATGGCTGAAGGCAGACTAATAACACTAAAGGAACTTACAGTCAATCAACTACATAAATTGTTGTCTATGAGTTTGAAATGATTAGTGTCGGGATATTAATACGATAAGTTCATTCCCAAAGGACTGGTCTAAGCCTCAACTAGGGAAGTACCAAAATTTTTAAACTTTATATCCCTCGTAGTTTGAATAGTGAGGTCCCAACTTTTTTTATGTGAAATGTTAGGTTACGATGAAGAAATGTAATCTATAAGACTTCTTTTTCTAGTAGGAAGATTTTGGTTTTTCACGTTTTGATATAACTTATTTGTCAAAACTAGGAGGGGAAGCGACCTACTACTAAATTCCTAGTTTTTGCGTAAGTTGCCTTTTTTCTATGCAAGAACACTTAGAAAGAAGAAAGAACTTCGGATTCAAAAAAGTATGCTTAAATCGTTCCTTCACTGAGCTTAACAGAATGAAGAGACTTCAGCACAATGATAATGATCGTTTCTTGATATCAAATCATCATTCCACATCTTGTTTGTAGTTTGACATTTGGCAATAAAAAACTCGCTACTCCATCGAAGTGACAAGCTGAGAAACCACCAGTATTACCAATTTTTACGAAGTAAGAAGACATCCCAAGGCATGCATTGATACAGTTAAATAGAAATCCACAAAGCATAAAGTCAATAATCCTTTAGGGACGGTACACAACCTCCACCAATAAAACAAATGTTGACGTAAGCGATTTACTAATGGGCATCGGAACCTTCCTCCTACCTGTTTTTTGCTTCCTAGCTATGAACTCATACAGTCATACTATCGACCCCACACATCCCACTTAATCTATTACATCGATTTATCATACTCTCTCAACCAGGTCATCAAAGAATATACTAACAAAAACTTTCCAAAGTGAGAGAAGGAGAAGGAGAATGAGAGATAGGTCAAGATTAGAATGAAGTGATCGCTACAATGTCATTTGCTAAAAATATTATACACACTTTAAAAAAAATCATGACGAATCGGTTGAAATTACCTTCCATGATCCAATGCTTAAGCCTATAAGTTTAAGCATTTGCTTAAGCCATTTTTATTGGTTGATAGTAGATTAGGTAGTTAATGAGGGTTAGTAGTGAATACGTAGTTGAGGGTAAATGGAGTATTATGCAAATATAATTATAATTAATAATTTTCTTTCTCTCTCCTCCGTAACCTTATCCATAAGACCATAACCCTCTCTTTACTACAATTAAAAGGAAATTCAAAATTGATTAAATTATATATTATTTGATAGGTTAAATACACTATATCCAAAACTTTCAGGGTTGTGCCAATAATATCCAAATTTCCCAAAATACCACTTATATCCAGTTCCTTCACATATTTTAACGGTGTTTTTGGATATACAAGTGTATTTAACCAAAAATATATTGAGAAATGGATAGATTTGGCAAAGAACAACTTTAAAACATGGATATAAGTGGTATTCCGGGAAATTTGGATATTATTGGCACAACCGTGAAAGTTTTGGATATACAAGTATATTAAATCTATTTAATATTTAATAAATTTGAACTTAATATTTTTTTCTTTCTTAAAATGAAAATTAAAAATACATGCTCTCTCTCACATCATGAGAACTTGCAATGTACTATTAACGTTTTCGAATGACATTATCAACGTTTATGAAATGAATCATTATTATTATATCTTATCATTATTAACTATTTCAATATGCTTATCAAATATTTACAATTACATTATTAACAATTTTGAATCAATTGTTCCCGTTTTACATTTTTGTCATCCACTCTTATAAATGAATCATTAAAGTTATGTAACATTGTCATTAACAGTTTGAATAAAATATCATTGATTTACAAAATCTTTACTAATGTTCACAATTTCACGTCATGTTTATAACTATCTAGTTATGGCTTCTTCCACTGACTTCTAATGGCATTGTTATTATTTTAGGATCAATTGATATTGCTTTACATTATAGCGGGAGCAGAGAAACAGATCCAGTCATCAAAACCTTCATCTAACCAAACAAATCAGAACAATTACAAGAACACGCTTGGCCACTTGAAGATGACATTAACCACAAAGAACTGAGATAAGAGAAGTATCAGACTCTCGCACAACTTTAAGAGTACCCATCATATAGTTCAGCGTTAAGAGTTAACACTTGGCTCCCAAAAGAAGCTTGCGCTAAAAAATTTGGACCTGTCACGATCTAGCTCCGATTCGAGAGCATCGTCCTGGTGGAGTCGCCGACGAGCACGCGGTGGAAAAGGGCCAGTAAGGAGATGACAAACGTCGTAAGGGTCGATTGAGAGAGAGTTCCATTCGACGAGGGCATTTGCAGAGTTGGTGAACTCTACCATGGTATCGTCATCGAAGAGCAGGGCGTGGCGGCCAACAACTTCAAGATAGGGTCGCCGATTGATGCAGAGGAGAAACCCTAACTTTTTTTTTTGGTTTTGAAGAGCTGGATATTGAACTTGCAATAATTTGCTATTTGCTGCAGTGTCGAGGAATTTCAGAGTCCTGGAAGAGCTGGTAATTGATACCGATGAGCCTTTCTTCTGGCATGCGAGATTTTCGGTACTGTGGGAAGGAAGCCCAACAATGGAAGTGGCAGCGACGGCGGGGATATGCTGTCGGCGAGGTATTGGTATTGGGCATTATAAGAAATTAGTTTTTTATTTATTTTAAATAAAAGTGATAATGAGATGGAAATAAGATGACAATTTTAAAAAATTTAATTTTATCATTTTTATTATTTTAAATTGTCACGTCACACATTTAACGGTCAACTTTTAGAATTGATAGACACGTAAGCAAAAGTTAACGGAGTTGGATGGAGAGTGACCAAACGTGAACGATTTCAGTAAACTGAAGTACCACCAATGGATTTAAATATTTTGAGTGATCAAACTTGAACGTATTTTGTAATCTCAGTGACCAACCATGAAATTAACCCAAAAATATTAGTTCAAGCAAACCAACATTCACACCTCATCATCAACCCGAAGAGGGGTAATCGAATAACAACTCCATAAAGGGAGACAATCGGCCCAAATCTGGGCAAAGAGAAGGGATCTTCATCATGAAAAGACCCTCTGATATGGAACCCTAGCGGGGAGAGGGGAAGGTTTCCTTGCCGCCCGACGAGAGCATCGAGAAGGCTTTTTTGTATTGATTTTCCAGTACAAATCAATAAATTTTATATTAATTAGGGTATTAAGTTAAAATTCAAATAAATAAATTATGTAATTTACCTCAATACCCTTAACTGCCTATTAATTACTAACTTCTTATTAATCTCCTAATTTCTTTTTAGCTAATAGGAAGGGCTTAAGCACAAGAATCGATCCCAGCTCATCAAAGTTGTATCTGACCGGCCCAACCCATATCTGGAAACTGAAAATACCGGCTGTAACACCCGAGATTATTTCCGCTGCAATTGTATGAACAATATGATTAGGTAATACGTATAGGGTAGGGTGTTTACTTACCCTTGACATGGTCTATCGTAAATAAACCATTACCTAACTCTTAGGTTAGGAGATCTGAATTACATAACTAAACACATAACACCTCAAGTTCCCAATATAAGTTTTCAAAAACCTACACTGGGCTATCACAACAAAACACATCAGCAAATTCAAAACATAACTTATTAGGCAAGATTGTTAACCTTCAATGTAGGTTGCTACTAACTCAGGGTACTTCTCTCGCACACTTGCTTCAGTCTCTCAGGTAGCACTCTCACTATCTTGATTTCTCCACACAACTTTCAACATTGGAATTTCTTTCCTACGAAGAGTCTTAATCTGAAAATCAACAATCTCAACTGGAACCTCTTCAAATGTCAAATCTGGACCCAACTCGATCTCCTCTGGTTGTATAACATGGGAAGGATCCACTTTGTACCTCTTCAGCATACTAACATGAAATACATTGTGGATTTGAGATAGTTCTGGAGGCAATGCCAGTTTATATGCCACTGGTCC